GGACTTAACTCTTTGGAAAATAAGGTGGAGGAAAGACAATGGAAATACTTCACAAGCCATGTATTACCTAGGCTGAAGTTGTTCAGAAATTTACAGAAAAGTGTTTGAAGTTTTTGGCGATATCTTATACACAGTTAATTCCTGCTTGTCTGAAACATGAAGCCACAGATAAGCATCTGTCTGTCTCTCATATCTTGGTTACTTATACAGTTTGCATCTTCCTTAAATTGCTCTCTTTTCTCCTTCAGTTTCTTTGAAATAGAATCTCATTCTGTAGACCAGGCTGGCCTCACACTCCTGGTGATCTTCCTACCTCAGCTCTGTAGACCAGGCTGGCCTCACACTCCTGGTGACCCTCCCACCTCAGCTCTGTAGACCAGGCTGGCCTCACACTCCTGGTGATCTTCCTATCTATCTCAGCTCTGTAGACCAGGCTGGCCTCACACTCATGGTGACCCTCCCACCTCAGCTCTGTAGACCAGGCTGGCCTCACACTCCTGGTGACCCTCCCACCTCAGCTCTGTAGACCAGGCTGGCCTCACACTCATGGTGACTCTCCCACCTCAGTTTCCTGAGTGCTGAGATGACAAATATGAGTAACCACACTTGATTTTTTTTTTGTCTTTCTTTTGGAGTTTATGGAATTTTTCTTTCGTTTTAGATATTAATGAGAACGTTGTAAAGCTGTGATATTTTTAAACTCCCTTATTTGAGTCCTCCCTCTGCTCTGTAGTAGCTGTTCTGAATAGAGTCCCGTGTGATGCTTCACAGCAGGGATTCCTGGAAGGAGGACACAGGGATGCTGGAGATGTGCAGACAAAAGGCCAGGCGATTAAAAATCCACCAGCAGCAAGGTTCAATATACCACTGTCCTTTGGTAACCTGGGAATTGCATGTGGTGCTTAGGAGTATCTGGCTTCGGTCCAGCTCAAGCATCTAGATGGCAGCCAGGTGTATTGTGAAGCCACAATAGGATGGAAGGGGATGGCTGACACTGAGGAGCAGAACAGTGAAGTCAGTGTTGAAATTCCAGGCAGAAGCCAGGGCTTAGGCCGTTCTTTTGATTTCTCCCTCAAGCGGAGAGCATCTGGGGCAAGTATGCATTCATTCTCATGAGATTGCAGTCAGTCAAATGAGTTTTGAACATCTTTATGCCTTGACCTGTGGTACATGTCATGGGCACAGTCAGCCTGTGAATATGATATTTAGTCCTGTGCGGATGCCTCAGTGGAGAGTTGTAAGGGTTTATGGAGTCTTCAGGGTAGTTCACCTTCCTTAAAAGTCTGGGATGGAGAGGTTGGGATCCAGTCGAATCAGGCAGAGAGAGGTAGGAATGTTTTGTGTATGGGGAGAAGCATGTGCAGAGGAACTAAGGTATATGTGAGGAATTCTAATTGAAGAGTCCACTGGTTTAAGGTGAAGATGAACCTCATAGCCCATAAGGCCATGTTGATGCTGCTATTTGTCATCTTCAGAGCCAATACAAGCAATCATGGAAGGCTCTTAATCAAGAAAGCCTGCCTAGTGCTCACAGAAGTCAGAACAGGGCACCAGATCATCTAGAACCAGAGTTATAGATGGTTGTGAGTCATCACATGGGTGATGGAAATCAAGCCTGGGACCTTTGAAGAAATGGTCATTGCTGAGCCACCTCTCCATCCTCGAAGTGACAAGAATGAAGAAGTGTTGGTGACTCACAAACTGTAACAGTTAGGGGAGAAACCCTTCAAGGATGAAGCCTGAGTTCCAGGCTTGAATGATTGGGGGTTCATACCAGGATCAGGAGGGTAAGGGGGGTAAGGAAGGTAGGGATGTGACATGTGGAGTGGAGGGAAAGAAAGCAAGTTGCCATTTTGGAAATGATTTTAATTTCCAGGTATTGAATGTGCCCTTTTCATTGTCCTAGGATACTTTGGAACCCAGTATCTGCATCCCAGAGGATGCAGATAAAGGGAAGGGCACTTCTGGATGATAAGCCCTTCCCTCCCTCTCAGCCTTTAATTGAAGAAAGGGAGCTGGCCCTGCCTGGTCCCATAGGAAGTGAGAGCAGCTGCCATAATTTCTGTAGTTTGTTAGCTCAACCTGGGAACCACCGTTCTCATCTGGAGTGGGAGGTTCCCAGTCTAGTTCAGTTTCAGCACCAAAAACGAGCAATCAGTAAGGTGACCTGACTCTCTGGCAAGTGGGACTGATGTAGACTGTCTCGAGACTATTAGCTGTGGGGGTGGTTAGGTCAAGCACAGAGCTGCTCATTAGGCTGTGGCAGAAAGGAAGACGGTTTCAAGGGTCACGCCCTCTGGCTCCTCCCTCCCCAAGAGCTGGCTTTCTGACCTCTCTGCTTCCCTGACATCATGGCTCTGGTTTTGATTTATGTTGTTCGTGTGGATATTTAACTTTCCGTCTGAGAGATGTAAACTTGAGTCTGATTTAAGTGTTACATCCTTCTAATCTCTTCAGTTGACCCTAAGGTGCAGCTTGATGGAGCTGGGCTATAGCTCCTGCAGACACATTTTCAGGAAAGCAGATCTGTGATTTTTCTTTACAAGGAAGGGAGTGGGGGAAGAAGGGAGGGTGGGCGTGTGGTGTGAGTATGATAAGCTAGTGGGTGTGCAGTATGAGTGGGTGTGTGTTAGAGGTATGTTAGCACACACGCACGAGCGCGTGCACCCCCCCCCCCAGAGCAAGTGTGTGTGTTGTGTGCATATACCAGCTTGGGTGGGAGGCTGGTGAAGTGAGGCGAGCCCTTGCACTGTGAAGATGGGTATGAAGAATTTTTCCCCTTTGTTAGAAGCTGGGGGTCTACCTCTCATCTCCTACCACCCCACCCACATTTCCTCACTGTTCCAGTGTTATCAATCCAACAGCAACCCTCCCCAGGAAGGAGAGGTGGGCTGGGGTAGAGTAGCCAGTGGATAGGTTCCCTTTTGGTACTTGAGTTCTGGCTCTATGGTTAGCAGCTTCCCTTCTGGACTGGCAGTGATTCAAGGATAAGTACTTCCCCTTCCCCCTTAGGCTTCTCAACAATGGGTGGCCTTGCTTGATCCTGTGGCCTTGGCCTTCACATGACTGTAGGAAGAATTGAGCCCGCAGAGGGTTTATGTTTCTGACTGCAATGGGTTCAAGGCAGAGCAGCGTGGGACTCTTAGGAGAGGGATCATGGAAACTCCCCCTGGCCTGGAGGGCCTTTGTAATTGGGTAATCAGGAATGGTATCATACCATCTCTGGCTGCATGGGTCACTGACATACCGCTGACCTTGAAGCTCCAGCAGCACTTGATGGGGAGAATTTGCTAACCACAAAGAAGCTGTGACTGCATATTCAATCTAGAGGTTTTGTTGCCTCAGCAAGGTGTCAGGTCCTTTGCCAGTAAACCCATGTACTTTGGTGGGCTCCCCCAGGGGCCAGAGTATAGAGTGCCCAAGGTTAACCAGTCAACTCATCTGCTGCTGGGAGCTTCATTCTTCAGTGTGTCAACACAGGCTGTTAGTCAATACTAGGGGAAATCCGTTTGTTCCCAGTGTCATTTGTGAAACTCTTTTGACTGGAATCAGTCCTTAGCTCCAAGTTTTGGGAAAAAATTTACTTTGCTTGTAACTACAGGAATTATCTTTCAAACATGACTATTTCTATTTCTGTTAATGCAATCTTTGCTTAGGTACAGGTAAAGCTATCCAAGGTTAACTTGTTGACCAACTCTTGGACATGTAGATGAGGTGGTTCAGGGAAGTGAAGGATCTGCCAGGAAGGGGGGCACTACATCTGATATGATCCACCTCTGTGCACTGGCACAGGTACCTAGGCTGTGTTTAACATTATGATTATGATTAATCCAACCCTTTTTTCCCGTGGAACTAATTGAGTTCATGTCCGTCTGCCAGGAAAAAAAAAAAAAGATTGGTACTAACCTGTTGAGAATGGGGAATTAATTCTTTTGTTTTGCTTAATTTCACATCAGTTGATACGTTTTTAAGCAAGGAAATACATGTTAACCATTAACCTGAATGCAATCTGGTTTGGTGGATAACTTTAAAGTATAATCAGGGGCAGGTGTGGGGTTGCATGTGTGTAACCCTGGCACTCTGGAGGCTGCGACAGGAGAACAGGTGATTCTGAGGTCAGCCTGAGTTAGATGGTGAGTCTTTCTCCAAAACCAAAGATAAATAAAAAGTACAATTGGGTGTGGTGGTGCACACCTTTAATCCCAACACTTGGAGGCAGAGGCAGGTGGACTTCTGTGAGTTTGAGGCCAGCCTGGTCTACAGAGTGAGTTCCAGGACAGGCTCCAAAGCTACACAGAGAAACCCTGTTTTGGGAAAAAAAGAAAAAAAGTACAATTGGATAAAAAAGCCAGATGTAGGGGTTTAGGCTGCAATCATAGCTCTTGGGAGGCTGAAGCAGGAGTGGTACCATGAGTTCAGTACCAACCTTGGTTGCATAATGAGCTCCAGGCCAGCCTAGGTTTAAGAGTGAGGTTCTGTAAAAAATACAAACAAAACCAAAACAAAGCAAAAGAAATACCCCAACAAACAACTCCCAAAGTATGTATTTTTTCTTGGTGCACTTATTTTTGGCAAGAATCTTTATGTAAGAGGTGTGTGTGTGTGTGTGTGTGTGTGTGTGTTTTATTTTATCTTACTGGTGAAGAAATTGAAAGGAGAAAAAGGAAAAAGACATTTACCATGCCATATAGATGGTGGCAAGTATCTGTAGAAGGATATTTTCTCATTCTGATGCCTGCTTAGTACACACAGGGCTTTACTCTGTCACTAGAAAGTTGAAAATGGACCCAGTAATTTCTGGTTAAGTTGCTTATTTATTAAAAGTTAGAAACTATTTCAAGACCAGATGATACCTGCCTGGGCTTTTAATTTCCTCATGTGTAAAATGGGGAGATTAACCGTGTGGCCTCAGAGCCTTTGCATTTCTAACCTTCTGTGACTAGGGACATTGCCCTCCCTGCCTTTCCTCCTCTCAATCTCTCTTTGCTTCTTCTCCACAGTACGTGGGAAGCCTGGATGTGCCGAGACCCAACAGCAGGGTGGAGATCGTGGCTGCCATGCGCAGAATCCGGGTGAGTGGTCACAGGTGGGGCTGTGTGTGAATCTGGAATTCAAGCTTCCTTGCTCCTGGCCCTTTCAGTCAGAGCTGAGAGACAGAATATACAGCTGCACCCTTCCATGCCCCAGAGTTCATATTCCTACCTCACTGGAGACCGTTTGTGAATTGTGCAATAAGAGCCAAAGGTTGAAATGGATGTGATGGCTGAGCCATGTCATCCTTGCTGTCTCATGTCCTGCAGCTCTTCAATTGAGATGCCTGTGTGGTGGTTGGCTAGGCAGTAAGGGAGAATATAGAAGGTAGAGCAAAACTTTTGTCATCATCTAGTAATTGCTCAGAACATTTTTAAAAAGATAAATTAATCTGGTACAGAATAGAAATTTTAAAATTGAAATTTTAATGCTGGATATGAAATTTCAACAAAACTTCCTTGGTTAGCTGCTTGACACATCGGGGATGTGTGAGCCTTTTGGATGTCATCCACTGTGCACGTGCATGTGCACACACACACACACACACACACACACACACACGCTCACACGCTCCCCATACCACACCACCCCACCCCACCCCACCCCACTTTTCTGTGCATCTCCTGAAAGGGTTTGCTATACATGGCAACCCACTGCCTTCTGACTCTGGTCCATAGGGCAAGGCACCAGAATGAGAGGACTGTACTTTAGAGGTGGGTTTGAGATTGCTCTGATGTATTGTGACCGGGTTGTGGAGGGAACTGCTGTGAGGGTGACTGGCTTGGCCATCTCTAGGTGCAGCTTGGTTTGGGTCATCGTTCTTTGGAGTGATCTGTTCACCTAAAAGGGAAAGCACGTAACAGGGGCTGGAGCTTCATTTTGCTTTTGTTGGTTTTTCTCCCAGCTGGTTCTTTACCCTATCAACAGAAACCTCGATTCAGTGACATCAGTGCTGGGCAGAGTGTAACATGCTTTCTGCATGGCTTGATGGTACTTCCAGTCATTCAGCCTTTTCATCTTTACCCAGTTGGACTGATTGAGACTACTGTTGCATAAAACGGTGCTGTCTTCATGGACTTGGCAATTAGAACACTTGAAGTACTATGATGAGAGTAACTCCACCAAGTGGTCACAGCATTAGAGGAGCACTTTGTGTCGTTTTCTTATTTATAGCTACTTCAGACGAGGTGAGGATGTTCTTAGTACATCTCATGGATGAGGACATGGAACCTTGGGCAGGTTAAGTCCTCAGATCAGGTTGCTGTTCACAGGCAGCTTGGGTGTAGGTGGACTTTTCTTTCCTGCCTGCCAGTTCCCAAATAACCTACACATAGACTTAATATTAATTATAAACCAATCTGACATATTCACACTGTGAAAAGGAATATTCCATACTTGGGGGTCCATACATAAGACTGCATTGTGGCCCCTAGTTCCCGCTGAGGGCTCCTTGGAATGCTGATTATGAGTCTTGACCCTAGTTAGATAAAACCAGAAAGGGAGCCCATGGCAGAAACACAACCTACAATGGACAGAGGCATAGAAAAAAGGTTACCTGGAAGCAGGGCTGGGCCAGACATGGTGTAGCACTAGCTGGTCACGGGATCTGCAGGCATCTGGGACTGGAATGTGTCAGTTTTGTCTCATTACCTGCTATCTCTGGCAGCCGCATGCCTCTCCCTACAGCTCCCTCTGTGGGAACCACTTCCAGTGCTTAATGAGAGCTCATTACATTAGAAGGAGAAATTAATTGGTCAGAAAGATGTTTGGGCTGGCTGTCCAGTTGCTTGTGGGGACTGGCTGCTATCAGTAGCAAGTACTGTGATGGTGTGTCTTCCCCGCCAAGCCCCACAATTCACTGCTAGGTCCAGGCTGCTATTTTCTTCTTTCTCTTTGCCTTTCAAAAGCTGTTTGGGCTGTAATTATAGCTGTCAAGAACTAGGGCATGGGATTTCTGTGTAAAGGACTATAGCTCACTCTGTCCTTTTATGTTGAGTAGTGCTGGGCTAATGCTGGATAGGGCACTGCAGGCTTTGGTTGCTGGGTATTCTACTGTGCTTAGAGGGCCCAGGTCTCAGGGCTTGGCCAAAGAGCAGTCAGTAGTCCTGAGAACCACTATTGATAAGGACAGGTGAGAAGCCAGGGACTTGCCAAGCCCTTTACTTTGTTTTGTCTTTTGGAGACACTATACAGTCTCACGATATAGCCCAGTCTGACCTTGAATTTGAGATCTCCTTGCCTCTGTCTCCTGAGTGCTGGGGTACAGGTGTGGGTCACCATGCCTGTCATTGCTAAACTCTGCAGATCTCAACTCCTGGTCCTGTCTGGAGAGCTGTGTTGTAAAGCAGCAGTGAGGACTCTTACATCTACCAAAGATGCATTCAGGGAGGGACAAGGTCTGTCTGACAATGTCCCCATTCCTCTTAGGAGTTGGGGTCTGGTAGGTGGACGCATCCCTGCTCATCTCCAATCCCACACCCCAGTGTGGACTCGGTTAAATACATACATATTTCACCATTGACTGCCATGCTTCCTCTGCCCTCTATTCATTTTTCATTTGTTTCTTCACCTTCTCCATGTTCTTTGTGAATTTATGACATGTGTCTTAGAGATTTTTATCCTCCACCCTTTAATAGGCTTCTAAGAAATGGATGGTAAAAGTGCATAGCACTAAATTTTGCTTTTTAAAGGTGGACAGCTCAGTAGTTAAAAGTATATTCAGACTTTTGCACCTAGGATCTCCAGCCTTATTTTCCTCTTGTAAAACTGAAACTCTATACCCATTAAATACTATCCCTTCTCCCTCCAGCCATAAGTAGCAATCTTCCTACCTAATGTTTCTACAAATTTGACTATTTTAAAGATGTCATGAGAAAGGAACCATGCATGCAGTATTTGTCCCCTTATGTTGGCATATTTTCATGGTCCATCCATATTGTATAGGGTCAGGGTTTCCTCCCTTCCCGAAACCTCCTTGTAGTCTTTGGTGTGGTTAGAGCACATTTTCCTTATGTGTCCATCTACTAATGGTCATTTGCCTTTTTCTCTTAGCTATTGTGAATAGTACTGTGTGAACATGGGTGTGCAAATGCCTCTTTGAGAACCTACTTTTGTTTTTGGTCTATATACTCAGAAAAGGAATTTCTGAATGTGCTAGATTAAATATTTGAGCTGGCATCTCTTTATGGTATCTAGGCTGGTCTTGAACTTGTGGCTGTAAGTGATCCTCTTGTCCTTGCCTCTTGAGTAGCTGGGCCCATAGGCATGCCACTATGGTGGCAGTAGTAGCTCTGTTTTGAGATCTTTCAATGCACTTTTCATAATGGTTTCATTTTGCCTTCCCACCAGTGATGCAGAGCAATGTATTCTATGCGTTAGTAGTAAAGGGAAAAGAAGCTAAGAATGTGTGTGTGCAATGGGAAGACTGGGGGAGACAGGAAAGCCTTTGTGGCAGTACAGAGAAATGAGCCAGTGATGATAAGTGTGGTTACCAAATGGCTTCTGAAATGAGTCTATCACAGCTCTGCGAGGTCTTGTCCTGGAAGAAGGGACCACATCCCATCACAACTATCTTTTGATTCTCTGATGTCTAACATGATGCCTAACTACCCTGTGTCCTTTGTTCTCAGATGTCAACACCAGTCACTACCACTTCACTTCAGTCTCCTTGGGAAGGGTACTCAGTATAGTCAAGAGGGCTCTCAACAAAGAGTAATGAGAGTTGGGCTTGAGTTTTCCCCTTGACTTAATGTGTGACCTTGGCAAGGCAGCTGACTGCTGTTAATCTCTGTTTCCTCGTTTATAAAAGACAGCATGCTACTTCTCATCCTGTCCCTCTGGTGCTATTGTTGGATCTGGGATAGTGCATGAGAAAATGCTTTTTAAACCATAAAGGGCTATTTATATTCATCGCTATCATTTTTATTCCTTTCCTTTGGGTTTCAGAGCATTTCATACATGCAGATAAATACCCTGAGACTTTGAGCTGCCTCATCTTGCTGCTTTTGACAGCTAGCCTCTTCTGTGCAAGCATTCCTTCCTTGGGGAAGCCATCTTGAGTGGTTCATTTTGTCTTCTCATGTTCTTGCCACAACATACCTTGTCCATTGGTAGCATAAGAATGACTATGTTCCTAGAGTCTAGCACATGACCATGGACTCCCATTGGTTTCTTTGACTAGGAGTTGTGTGCGTTCTTGTCCACACTGTAAATGGTTTCTGAAATGTGACATGAAATCAATGTTTCCTACTTACTATGCCTTGATTTCTCTACTACACCTGTAACGGTAGGGTATATGGTCAGTAGCTTGGTAACCAGGAATTGGCCATGTCCACCTCCTCTTCCTGTAGCTGCCACTTTTACTAATGTCCCAGAACTTTTCTCAAGGAAAACAAAGGGATGGAAAAACAAAGACCCTGGGTGTTTAGGAAGGCTTGCATTGGATGTATTCTTAGTATCTCATCAGGGACTGGTAGCTTTGTGGAGGATTGTAACTAGCTATGGGTCCTGTCTGAATGTCCCCTTTTGCCATGGCAGTGACCTCAGTCAGCACTGGGCTCATTTGTTATTAAGCGCTGCAAGTACCACCCCTGTTAGCTTGGTCCTGTCACTTCACAGGACACAGTAACTAATCACTCTATACATAATGGCTTAAAATGACTCCAGCTTCCCATCTTGTAGTCCTGGGGGTCAGAAACATGAAATGGGGAACTGCCAAGGCATTTGTAGTGCTACTTTTCTGTTGGAGGCCCTAAAGAACAGTCTGTTCTTGCTGCTTCAGCATCCTGGGAAGTGGATCCAACTTGGGGCCCATTGAGCACATTCAGCTGAAGATATGTATGAAGGGGACCCAACAGGCAATTATAAACTTACAACACGATGAGATTTTTATTGTTGTTGTTAAATTGCATGGTTTTCAAATGTGAACTTTTCAGATGACAACATGGTGTCACAGGTCAAAAGGTTGGATATGCCCAAAGGCTGCCCATGGTTTTATCAAGTGCCACCTGTCTGTCTTCACAGCCAGTAATCCTGCCACTGT